TTTTTTGCTTTAACTTATCATTATAAAATAAATGTTGTTTTCACAGTACAATGGCTATAACATAATGACAACATCCACGTTTAGATAAGTCTGCTCTCACTGTGCAATTCTGTTTGCCACCGGGAACAAACTTCACAGAGCTAGGCTCTGAGGAAAACGGAAAGCAATCAGTTGTCTTTGCGACAGTGACGAATACCACCTGGGAACGCTAGGAGGAGGAAGGGAGTTGAAGTTGTATGTTTCCACTTGAAGGAGCTGATTTATGGAGCCTAAAGTGGAGGGATGGTTGGATGTCCATTATAGTAAAATACAACCCTCATGTTACAATCAAGACAGGTGACTAATGTTGTTGCCCAGTAGCAGGAGAGGTTGCGGATTTCAACCAACCAAAATAAGATAACTTGTGTAATAATATAACAGGTTTCACATGATGGTGCCAGTCGCCTGCCACTACGCAAAATTACATCCATTTACAGCATAAACATACCCACACTTAACAGAGATGATTATATGATTGTGCTTCTGTGTATCATTTACCGGGGTTGTGTGAGGTGATGACATCAGCCAGCTGCTGCTCAGGGACTGGCTCCTGCTTGCTGTTGTCTTCCTCCTGGAGTTTATCCACCATGGCGATTACACAGTTCAGACATTTGGCCACGTTGGCCCACACCCTGTCCTAAAAGAGTGGAATACACAATAAGCAGTCAGATCAGCTGATTATATCTATCTCTTTCTTATTGTGTTTGAGACAGTAAAATAGAGGGAAAACAACAAAAACTAACAAAAACTGAAAGAAAAATTGCTGAAGCAGCTAAAAAAAGTATTCCCTTATCTCTAAGAAACAAAGCAAAAAGGTGTTTCCCATTACAGTCTGGGCGGGCTTCATGTCCAAAAGGTCAAAAGGAAATTGCTGTCTGGCTATGAGATTCCTCTTATGGTGTTTGGATTGTTTCCACCTTTCTCCATCTTTTCCTGAGCTCCAACTGGTAGTGGACAAATAGATGCACTTTCACTTTTGTTTGTGCACAACTATGACAATCCAAGAGTGCATGTATGTGCATTCTAAGTGGCGGTGTGTATTTTGGTACTTTGTTGCTTCAAAAATATGGCTTGAACATGTTATAATGGGGAGGAATATTTTGAGAGATAATTAGGCATTGGTGTGCAGAAATCATGATAAACTCCTGCTGTTAGTGTGGCAGAGGCAAACACACCAACAGCTACACCACAATAACATTCTGCAGCCAGTTTGTCAGGATGAAACGTTTAAACTCCCCAGAGAAAACCCTCTCATTAAAAAGAAAAACGTTTGGTATGGGATCTAATTTTGCAAGTAATTGAAATGATTTGCCATAAAAAATTGTTTATCTGAAATAAGTTAATAGTTTGTCTCCCCCTGTGTGCTCTACTGTGAGGACCAGCAGTAAAAATAATACTTGTCACATTGTTTTTGTAAAAGTCATAGCTCTGAAAGATTTAGAAAAGTAGTCCCACTCACCCACTCCTCCTCGTCATACTCTTTATGGTGCGGTATGGAGTCTTGGTGCTTCAGCGGCAGAGTCCCACCTTCTCCCCTAGTCGTGGTTTGTGATTCCTCCACATTATTACACACCGCTGTGCTCTCAGTGACCGACAAGGTCGGACTGTGGCCAGGAAGTCCCTGGACTGGGCTTTGATTCTGGTCACTGTCCTGGTGGATGTGGCCGTGATGTTGGCCTCCCTGCACCGAGGTTTGCTTCTGGTTCTTGGAAACGTACCCGGGCCGTGCTGCGTGCAATGCTAGCAGTGCACTCTTGACCAATTCATCCTTAAGTGTGTGAACAAATTGTTCTGTCTGTGGCAAAAAGAGAAAAAGAGAGATTGGGAAAAAAGTTATTGTGGGACAGCAAAACAGATGAAAATTTAAGAGCTGAAAAAGCAAAGGAGATAGAGTAAGTGAGAGAGATTGTCACATTGGCGGGGTGAGTGGGTGGAGGAAAATACTGGTGGAAGTGAGCTTGGAAGCAGGAAACTATTTACAGAGGAAGTGAAAAGAAACAAGGAAAATGAACAATCTCCTCCACCATGAAGTAGCTGCTTTCCATTACCACAGCACAGCCAGTGAGCAACAAAAACATCAACAAACAATAAACAATTCAATTACTCCTCCTCCAGCCTGTTTCTCCGAGGAGCACACCTCCTTTGATCTCAAATTCACCAGCTACTGTAAGTTGATGATGATCCCGGTACCAAGGAGCCTCGCTCTAGCTGCCGCCACTGCGTAAAAAATGATAAGGGCTCTCAAAAGTAATTGAGTTAGCAATGCAATAAGCAATTTTATCACCAGAACAAAATGCAGTCTAAAAGAAACCTGCAAGGTCATTATATACATGTCTTTGTCACACAAACACCTTTTTCCTGCTCCTACCTCCCAGATGTGGACTGAGTAGTGAGCCTGTTGAGAGTGCCAGAAGGAGTGATTTTCACTTTTATGATTGTGTCATTTGTGTAATTACTACTCCAACTATCCAGCATGTCAAAAGAAAAGGCAATAAACTAAAAAATGTTGGCATAAGAAACATAATTTAATATTTCTTCTCTCTATATAACAATATCTTGACCAATGATCTTTCTGCCTATGTTTCTTGAGCCAATTAGGGACATCAAGCTGCTCTGGGAGGTACAGAAGCGGAAATTACGATTCACTTTGCTGATCAACATCATCATAATCATCATCACATCATTGTAATCACTGTAGTTCATTTCAGTTTTCTCTAAGCGTAGCGACTGCAGCACGTGTCTATCAGTAAGCGAGCGTTCACCCTTCACACTGTAATGCTGTGACGTTCACTATTGATTTTGCCTTCACTTCAGTCTGTGGCTGGTTAAAACAGTTACATTTAGTTCAGAATAAAACTTGGCCTACACAAGCACTGTTTACATTACAAGGTTAATAGCTCACTACCCAGCTATTTGCAACAGTGTTAACACATTAGCTTTAATAGAAACAACTGAGCTGGTATTGGTGCTTCTAGTCACCAGTGAGGTGCTTCACTGCTAAAAGCTACTGTTGTATTTGTATTTATCATATTTAAATATGATTTATTGAATGTATTATTATTAGGATTATAATTTAGTTTTTATTATTATAGTTTTTGCCAGTTGTCCTCGCACATACCTGCACATTCTTCTGGTCACACTAGTGCATACATGAATACACAACACACTAAGACACTTCTATACATGCACAGAAACACATATACATAGTAAAGGTCTGTAGTTCTCCCACTACAAAACAAAAACAACTACAAATCAAATCGTTACCAAATTCAAATCATAACCTCTGTTTGTTACGTCTTAATGTTTTGTGTTATTACACCCACTGTATGTCTTTCTACAGTAAGGTATCACCTTTTTGTCCCATTGCACTGATAAAAAAGGCTACTCATTCAATCAGTAACAATGATGATTTAGTATAATTAGTTCAGTTTGAAGATTCACCAGTGTTTTCGTTCACCTGCTGTCTTTACTCAACTATCATCAGCCTCACCACTAATGACCTTTCTCCTATCTTCATATGGTTACAGGTTCTGTTACTTTGACCACTTTTCACAAATCTGACTCATTGTAGCTTTGACTGAGAAGAAACTTCTGACTTGCTTTAAGAATGTATCTTTCAGTGTTCCTCTTATGATGCAGCTACAGTCTACAGTCATTTCAGTCATTAAGAAAACAACACTGTTCCATCTGAGCCTGGTTTAACTGTTCTGTTCTTAATTTAAAATATAAATAAAGACTAAAGAATGTTTGAACAAAGAAGGCAAATTATGACGACACTGAAAACTCCATTGTGTTGAATTCATATCCATTTTAATTGCCTTGCATGGATCCAAATGAGTTTCATTACTGTAAGTAAATGATGTGAGTGCTGAAGTCTATGGATAAGGCTATGTGTGTAATTGCCTGAGAACAAGCGTTTCTGCTGGAATACTATTCTGTGATGCACACAATTGTGTACAAAGTAAACATCATCTTCAAACAATCATTTTAAAAGATAAAAATGTCCAAATGACAAAAAAATGAGCCACGCTTGATTCAGTCAGTAACCAAAACACTCAACAGGAATTGGGAATTCAAAATGTAAATTCATATTCAAATTGAACTCTGCTTATCTGACCTCAATGTTAATTTGCAATCTATGAGAACATGTATTATTCATTATATTTCCAGAGATGAGTGAACAAAGCCACACACTGTATTTAAAACAATCTGGATCATATTTGCACTTCTTAATCACAGGGTCAAAGAAGTTTGAAATTTGACTATGCCAGTGCTCATACTGTAACTTTTTATACTTTTTACTTTTTATAGGAATTGCTTAAATTACAAATCAAACATTCAATTACATTCCTAAATATTCAGCCAGTATCATGGCTTACATCCTCTAATGTCAGGATCTACAGCAAAGTGCAGAAAACATTTTAATGATATACTGTACTGCAGTATTCATATAGATATTGTGTTCAAAGTGAAATATCTGAGGTGCAGTCCTTTGGGTGAAGGAGAAAAGCACTGCATCTTCATTTTCTTACCAAGGCTAAACCAAAGCAACTTTGCTCCTCCACGTGCAAAAACTACTCCTTAATGTAGCTCCTCCACACCTACCTGGTACACAGATCTGAAATGCTCAAAATCCCTCGGGATGAATTCTGTTGCTAGTCTTTCTTCAATATATCTGCTGATATGATCTTGACTGAGCAGAAGTGCAAGTCAGAAAGCGCCTCTGTGGACTCCAACTGCGGAAAAATAAGTTACGTTTGATCTAAAAAAGAAGAAAACTGTAGGAATCTATTCACCCTGAATGGTTTTGAATGGTTTTACCCTGAAGGATGAGTGGATTTTGGCTGAGTTAAAAATAGAGCTTTTTCACTCATCGTAACTTCACTTGAGAGCTGAAGGCAGACTGAATGGATAGAGCTGGTCAGATTCCAGCAGCACTTGGCTGTGAGGACACTTACTCACTATTGCGTATATGACCTCCATACACCGTATAATTTAACATAATCATGCATAGACAATCAAACCCACAGCTCCTCTCAGGTAACCGTTACAGCGGAGACATATAACTTGTCCTAGGACACAGCTGGAGGGAGGGGAGATACGTTGCAATTGCCTTTTCACTGTGATTATCATCAGAGTGAAATTATTATTATCATCATCAACAGAATCATCATCACATATAGAGAAGCAACAGCACATCTGCCGTGTCCAAAGCTAATCAGAACGTGCCCAGGAAAAGTATTCAGGAGTGAAATATTACATTAGGCCTAGAGTTGGGTGGTCTGAACCAAGAAGGAAAAAGTCAGAGGCAGCAAGTACTTGATGAAAAAAGGTTCTTACATCCCCCTGATTTTCTCTGCAGGTGTCTCATCTTCCCCAGTTTCTTTGAAGGTGTGACTCACTGTCTTTATTGAAAGAAACTTCACACACCCTGCAGAGACGCACCTTCAAATGCATCCACCTTTATTTATATGTCTGTAAGAAGGATATCAAATACCTGTCTGCTGATAAGTGTGAGTATGGAGGGTTATTTCTTTTGTCTGTTGCGTGTGTCTTTTCTCCTTTTCCTATTAATATTTTGTTGGTGAGTGTTTCCTCATCTGAATCGGGGGCATGCAGATAGAAGCAACCAACAGCCTAAAACTCAAAGACAGTCGGTTTATTAGTATAAATGAAGAAAAGCTTTAACACATTAGAGAAGCTGGGACCAGGGAATATTTGTCTGAAAAATAATTAAAACGATTAATTGATTCTCAAAATAGTTGCAGTTGGATTCATTTTTTCATTGATTGACTAATTGATTACCTGTTGCAGTTCTAGTATGTTGTACAGATTGTTAAAAGAATAATTCAATATTTTAGGAAATACATTTATTCACTTTCTTACCAAGAGTTAGATGAGAGGATTGATGTCACTCTCACAGACATTTGGTAAATATGTAGCTGGAGAGAAGCTGCTGCCTGTAGTTTATATTTAGTATTTAATTATATATTATTAACATATTTAATTTTCTTAAATTATCAAGCTATTCCTTTAAGTAAGTGTTTTTTTTAGGCAAAGTTGTGATTTTGGGCTCTATAAATAAAACAAACTAGACTTGACATGTGTGAGCAAGTTAGCATGAGTCACGAAAAAACACCTTTGCATTCACACCCAATATTTGTGTCTGTACAAAGATGATTTTTTGTGACCAGATGTAGAGGAGAGGAGACTTTAAAGGCTTGAAGAGAGCAATGTCACTTGAGCATCAGCTTTTACACACGCAAACACACAGTTTCACACTTCCACCGCCCTCAACCACACACACATACACACACACACACACACAAACACAGCTTGAGATTTTAATCAGAGAGCAGCCCTGCTTGTGCTGACCAGGCCAGGGGTTTACTTGGCCAATGTGTGCGTGTCTAATCAAGGATGAGAGGAAGTGGTGACAGAGCGAATGTTCCAATTAAGCAGGCTGATTGGGCTCTATTCCACTGTGGCAAAAACAATCTCTCCCACAACAGATTGCAATCTGACAGCACCAGATGTAATTCATTAATTATACTGATAAAAACGCCCCAACTCCATAAACCTCCATGCTGCTATTCACTTTTGTTAGTTTGGCGTTTTTATGATGAGTTATGGATTTTTCCTGAGGTTGTCTGTTTAGTGTGTGCATCTGTGTGTGCAACTGTGTAAAAGCAAATGCTGGATTTTAAAGTTTTCAAGTTGTTTTGAGAATTTATAAATTACACAGTTTTGTTTGGAATGAAACTGGGAGGGTAATATGGTACAAAGTCACTCTTGGAGAATAACTCCTCAGAGACGGTAAACATAGGTGTTGCAGTCAGTTTAGGCTAATATGGCCGCCTGAATAGTCCTCAGATTGCAACTTTAAACAGGAAAATGATTGCTTATAAGCTTAGAGGCCAAACCCTTGAGCAAATAAGTAAGTTTGGGTTTAAATGTAATTATCACCATAGTTACAGATTAATCTAAAAGCTTTTCATGCTGACGTATTACCTGCCAATGTTTGGAGATATGTCCAAGAATAAAAGAGGTGGTCAGAGTATTGCAGTAGCCTGAGGCCAAGAGAAATAAAGGGATAGTTTAGATGGAAGTGAGGGTGAGTGCAGGGTTTGGGGGCTGCCTCACCTTGTCAGAAAGGTTCTTGAGTGCATCCCTCAGTCCGGGGGAAGAGTGCTCCTGGGCAGCCTGGAGGAGCTGGTCCGCTAAGCTTGTGATGAGGGGCTGGAGGAGGCTCATGGTGCTGAGCACCTCCTGAGCTTTGGCTGTGTGCTCTGGAGAGTAGTAGATACACTGGTAGGCAGTGCTGAAGCTGTAGTGATGGAGAAAAAACACATCAGATTTCAGATTTGACAGATCTTGCTGCTGTTGCACAGAAATGGACTGGATACTGTATCAGTTCTTACATATAAAAGGGGACAAAATCTGATTTAAAAAGGACACTGGGCCTCACTTGCTTCAGATAAGCAAAAGCCATACTGGACTGAAGCTCATACCGTGTTTGTTTATATCAGTGCTGCTGGTGTTCTTGCTGGAGTCTACTTCCCACCAGCATTTGCCAAAACTAGCAGAGTAGAAATAGACAATATTTGATGTCAAACAAGGTACAAGCTTCTCTCCAGCATGCACTGGATGACCTGCTCCATCTGCCGGCAAAATCAACGCTGACACATAAAATCCTAACACACAGAACTGATCAAGGTGTAATATAAGTCAAATGTAAGTACTTTTCTACACAGTGTTAACACATCACATTTTATAATTATAAAGTTGTTTCTCTCAATGCCTTTGGTTGTTGTAGAGCATGTAATGCACCACACTTAGTTGCTTTGTGTACTACACTGTTGCAGCTCTTACATCCACCTCTAAACCCTGTTGTGAATAACAAGTGCAACCTTCCCTAACATCTAAAAATTGCATCTAATTGCCTTTTACACACAGGTGTAAATTAGTCCCTGACAGAATAGATAAATTAAACACAGTATGGCAGCCACAGGCCGGATCTTTATGAAGGGGACTGAAAAAGAAACATGTGTAACTCTTGTTGTTATCTAACGACATCAGAAAAGCTTCCCTGCAACTATTCTCTCATCTGGTCAAAAATGTGTTACAGTGTGTCTGATCATTACTTTACAATGTCAAATGGCTATTTGTTGTGTTGAGGTCAAACAGACCAATAATGGGTATTTATTGACCATTAGCATTACATTATGGCGAGCTTATTTTCTGAGCTTAACTCATTATGTGTTGCTACTTTTGCTGCCTTGATAATGTACAGCAGCAACGCTTTCCAGGTACTCAGCCTGAACTGTCAAATTGGACCTGCAGTCCAATGTCAACCCATTTTCGCTTTATGAATAATTAATCCCTTTCTCATTTCTAGGGAGCTATTTAATCTCAGACAAAAACACCTTTTGTCAGTTCCTAGATTCAGGGCAAATCACTCCAATCAAACATTCTCCTCGGGTAAAGTTCCAGTGACTTTCAATGAGTTTCTGCTGACTTCCTGCCATCAGACGTAGCGTGGAGCGAGGAAGTCATTTGCAACCCTCCCAGCTAGTTTAGAGTCAGCTCTGCAAGCCTCTATGTAGGCCAGACCCAAGAGCCAGATCCTAAGGCATAATTGACATAAGAGAGAGAGGGGGGGCAGAGGGAAGAGGGAGGAGCACATACAAAGGACTAGCATAATACAGTATTCTCTGCAGCGCTCCTAATATTTTTCAGTGAGAGAAAGACAGTGCTTCTTCAGAAGTCACCCTGTGTGGAACCACACTACCTGATGTATCAATAAGTGTGAAAATCTGAAGGCTGTAAAAAATTTGACCTACTACTAGGCACTAACCATGTCTTTGACTGGCTAACTCTAAAATCTTGGCCTTGTCATTACAGCTAATGAGCCCCCTGGAGGACTACCACCCACAACCTCAAAGCTAATCAAAGGAATCACTAAGTGAGAGAGAGACACAGGGCAAACAGTGTGAAATACTCAACTGCACAGAACAAAACCATTTCTTACTTGCAAACTTCTGTTATGCCCACTTCCATAACCATACCTTCAAATGCTAAGATTTCAGCATAGAGAAGACCATAATTGAATAATCTACGGCAACAAAGCAAATTCTGTAAAACCCTTTCATCCCCTGTGAGCTTACATTTGTCTTATTACATTATGCAGAACTAAAGAGAAAAAAATCCTACAGGACTGCAAGAATAGAGAGACTCCAGAAAAGAGGCAAAGGAGAAAGTTGTTGGAAGAGGACAATTGCTTCAGCGACTGAGATTCAATAACAGCCCTGTTGACTCATAAGTACAAATCCAATCCCATTAGGGAGCCTATGCAGGCAGTAATGAATGTTGGGACCTGCCACCTGATGCTAGAGGACAGAATTGATCCCCTCTAAGGCTGGCTAAGGCAAGGAACTTTAATTGCCTCATCAGCATTGCTGTCAGTCCAAACGAGTCTACCAAGACAGCAAACCATGCAAAGGTAAAACAGCATAAATCTGTGAATGCAAACTTGATGAAATGCCAAAGGGGATGTTGCACACAAGGATTGGATTGTCATTTCAAGCCTTGGGCATTTTTTCCATCACTGATGTAATTTTTTTTTCTTTTTCTTATATTTCTTTGGGATTTTCCCCTTTATTACATAGGAGAGCTGAAGATAGACAGGAAAGGAGGTGGAGCGAGAGGGGATGACACGCAGCAAAGGGCCACAGGTGGGAATTGAACCCTTGGCTGCTGCAGCAAGGACTCAGTCTTTATACCTGCAGCGCAATCTCCACCAGGTGAGCTATCCGGGCACTCCATTCCTGATGTAATTTGGGAGCGCTGTGTGCAAAGTTGTTAAAGCGTGTTGCCAATAAAACAGTGGGTGGACACAAAAATACACAATATAGTCCTGCAAAACTTACAACTTTTTGTGGAACTTATGATATTTATTTTTTGTTGCATATGTGTCAGAGAGGTGGTGATTGAACCCTAAGGTAACGTCTGAGGCCACAGTCTGTGGTGTTATTGGAGTGCATGATATATTAATAAATAAATACAAGAACAGAAAATCAACCCACCTGTGTAGGTCTTAGGATGGCGGGACTTAGCCTCAAGCTGACTCACAGCACAACTGAACTCATAAAAGGCCTCCTTCTTCCCAAATCCTTTACTTTTGATTAAAGGGGCTCCCAGAAGAACTTGTTATTTACTGTTTGTTTGATGGTAGATCTATTTCATGTTAAATCTGAACAAATTTCTTTTAAGTTAAACATTTTTGTTCTTATGCAGTTAACATTTGATCAGACCATTCCCAGTGTGTGATATCAACCGTATTATTTTGCCTTGTAGCGCTATATTATCTGTTATGATCCCAAAGAAAGTACAAAATCTTTTGAAAATAAAATAAAAGGTTAGATGGATTTCTGTACATAGAGTATACGTTTGCTGATGCCATGTATAATAGCAATATAAGCAGTACTGGGAATTTCTACACAGGCATTGTTTTAACAAATCAATAAATTATGAAGATGAATTTATTGATATTCATACTGTGAATGAGTCATTCGTCCAACAATTATTTTAACTTTGCATGCTATTTGTGTATGTCTACGGACCTAAGAGACTCATACATGCAGTATAGAGCATTTCAAGTGCTTTGTTTTTTCTCCAAAGACACAAACTAAGGACTAAAACATTGATCTAGAAGGTTGTCTTGAGTGTTTTAACCATAGTGATGCACAAGTTAATTTTTTCTATGCCACATTGTGAAATACAGATCAATGAAACTAGAAATATGGCATAATGAGTTTTCTAATGTGTCCATGAATTCTATTTTACTTAAATTATCTCAAATTGGAGCTACAATGGAAGAAAAAGCATTATTTGTTCATATTCCATTACATAGTACATATCAATTATATGTTAGTAATTATTCATTATCTCATTATTTTAATAGCATACCTACTGTACATCCAACCAAAGCCACCAGCCTGTGGCCCAGAGTCAACCGTGCAGGACATGCTGCACTCGTGTTTTGTGATATTCTTCTCACATGATTTTTTCTAGAGACCTCTAAAATCACACAAACCCCTTTTATTCCAGTTCTAGTTGTCTGTTTTCCTGTCATTAAAAAATCTTACCTGCAGACACATCTAATTGCAGAGAAATAATAGTTAGACTCCAAATTGTGGCACTAAACCCAGGATGCAGAGTACAGTTTAAAATTTCTCAACCAAAACATCTTGCTTGTATGAAAGCTTTAACTTTTACCTTTTCCTATAAAGTCACCTGAAGGTGTCAGGTTTCTTTTAAATTTTGTGTGACACAATTTGTCAAACCTTAATTTCATATTGTGCCAGCTGTGCCGCTTCTCAAAGCAGGGCAGTTCACAGTGCAGACTGTCCGTTCTCAAAGGTTGACTTGTGGCGAACAGCATGATGTGGAACAGTGGAGCATGACTACTGGTCATATTACTGTGCTGTTTCATTTTAAGTATGGTGTGAATTGAAAAAAATAATTTGTAATAAAAACTCCACAATTACTGTATTTGTGGCTCGCATTTAGTTACATTACGGTAAATTTTAGTTCACACAGACATGTAAAGGTCTTGTTCCCTGTTTGGCAGCAGAGACATTATTGGTGACATTATCACATAATGCATTGGAGACTGCTGGATATTCCATATGTTCAGAAACAAGAATTCAATTCACCTGGGTCTCAGAGACATATTTGGGCTCGACTACATTTGCACTTGCAACTCTCCTCCTCCTGTTAGAGATTAGTGTCCTCTTAGGTGAAGCTCCTTCAGACTCCATTACTTGACGTCAGTACATCATTGTGGAGAGAGCAATGCTTTTAGAAGGAATTGCTGTCAGACCCCAATACTGACTCACTGATAATGTATGATAATGAATTCTTCTTAATCCCACCTCATTTCCATGTGCACCCCTGGTACACCACGCGCCTCCAGCTATGAAAATACTGAAGGTGTGCTGCCACTCCCTCTGCACAATATGCACAGTGCCCTTTGACTCATAAAATTATCTCCCTTCATCTTCTTATAATTCAAATTTCACACAAACAAACAGCACTATGTCTCCAGGATAAAGGCCCATCCACGTGCTTAAACATTTGTGGCGAAACACTTCATCAGGTAAACTCCAGTCTAGGAGGAGACTCCAGGCAACAGATTACTAAAACCAGTATAATCCAGGATGAACTTCCCCTTGGTTTTCCTAAATGATCAATAGGAATTGGTTATAACAGTAATGAGAGGGAGAAAACCGCTGGACCCCGCGGCCTAATTAAGCCCACATCTCCAGTGCATGGCTAATTAATAGTGGGAAGGAAATTAATGAAGAGCTTGTGGCCTGCTGCTGACAGCCAGCAGGAGTAAAATGCAGCTACGTCAGCAGAGAGCCCTGCAGCACTCCAGGTGACTGCCAAAGCCTCCTTCGTCATTTAGACAGCACGCTCTAATCACAATTCTTACACCAGGCCACTGCCACATGGACACAATGAAAAATATAGTCTGCTATAGATACATGCTAGAAGATCTGATCTCAAACCAGACTCTTTTAACTGCCAAACTCCATCTGCTGTTGAACCATCCACTGGGAACTGATCTCACATCAGTTATTAAAATAACAGCCAAACTTTTCCTCAGTGATTCAGACACAAGCTAGCAACCCTGATCTGAGACCATATAAGCCTCAAGGCTACTGCCAGCGTCCCTCTTCATCACCCACAAAACCTGGAGCAGGCTGACTCCAGAGCAGGCAAAGAACTAACAAGCTGCTGTCCATCAGCATGGAGTCCCAGCCACTGCCAATGTCCTGTCTCTGAACACACACAGAAATCCTGGGAGGAAGTTATTTTGTTGGACAACATGCTGCTAGTCACATTAAATCTGAACATCGGCCCCAGGAGACTCTATTAAGTGTGTGCAATGTAGTTTCAACCGCTCTCTGTGTCCCAGAAACGTGTCATTTGGCAGTTCTGCTTGACCAGGAGGCCTGGAAAAATGACAGTGCTTCCTTCCTCTCTGTTACGGTGGACAGAATTCAAAGACACATGTAGAGAGGAGTGCCACTGCACAGCGTCTGTACAGCTGACCTTACAAACAGGGCTATCTAACATTCTACAGAAAAACTGTATACAAGTCAACGCCATATACTACTGTATATCTCCCACTCCCATGCATGTGCAACAAAAACACGCCGACTCATACGCGCCATCAGTCCAGGTTGGGAGAAATTGGCAGTGTTCAGGTTCAATAAAACCTGTGTCAAAAAAAAGTGTGTTGCATCGTTATGCAGATTAGCTGAATAATTCAAAAGAAGGCTGTTAATGAAAGATTAGACCACCTCAGCAAATCCACAGCTCTGTCTACAGGGTTCAATTAAAAACGGATAAAAATCCAGTGACTTTTAAAACAGCCATTTAAGTGGGACTGCATGCATTAATGAAAGATAAATGCTCTTGCCCTGTGTGTACATGTGCGGGGTTTCTGGAAGAATACTAAGTGTAGCTATTGATTAAACTCTTTCTGGGCCCATCCTGAGAGACAAACTACATTGCATACTCTGGTCATTGCCAAGTTTGGCCAATGCAGGTTTTTAATGGATCTGGAAAGAACCCCCCTTCCTCTCTTCTAGTGTCCAGGGAACAAAGACGAATAGCTCTTTTATTGCCCTCCTGGTAACACCTCTGCGCTCAGGTTTTCCTTTTTTTCCCCCCCTTCCTCAATCCTTTTCCATCTTCTCTTTGATGAATTAATATCACATTGAATAGCCAAGTCTCACATCTCACCGACTGTTCCCTTTTTAATCAAATGTGATTACAAAAGGCTGCTTCTGAAAGGCGAGAAGACATACTGGAAGTATAATGAGTGAGTGTCTGTGTATGCGCTCACACATGTATCTTTGCTCTGCTCAAATAGGCTGACTTTCTCTGCAATTAAGTGACTCTCTACTAGACATGCGCACACGACTACAATACTTCACATTCAAACATCACAAAAAAAATTCATTGGGCCCTTCTAGGCTAAATATTTGGTCAGACGTTTAGTGCATGCAAAATAAAAGTAAATTAAACCATGAAATAATGAATGTCCTTCGTTTAAAGTAAACATGCACATTCATTAAAATGGCCACTCCGAACATGCTGCAAAATCAAAGAGAAATGGACTTCATTCCTATTTCTGACAATGACTGACAAATGACTGCATTCCAGGTCAAACATGGATAAGGCTCAGTGCAGGCCGTAGTCAGTTAGCCAGGCGGAAAATTGGAAATTTAAGCTACAGCGAGTCATTAGCTAAATCAAATATGAAACAAAAAGCTCTGTCTCCCTGGAGAATTCTTTCTGAAGTCTAATCTCTCATTCAAAGTAAATGATTTCACTTCAGTGGATTCTGGAAAATATGCTAACGTTATCATAGTTCATGCTAGCCGATAAAACTGACCATCTTCACCAAATTCACTTGTGCACTTGTGCACAGAAATCCTTTCTTTATTTTCTATTATCAGTAGAGGCTCCCAACTATTTTCCCATCAACTTATCCATTTCATACCCACACCTCACCCCTCTCCATCTTGCCTCTCTTCCCCTCTTTCTTGAGCTGCAAACTCTGTAACTAATTGGATCTGGCATGGTCTGTAATGACTTTGCACTCTATGGGGAGCTTTGGGAAAAATCACCCTTCATTTCTTCTGGCATCACTCAAGTGACCACATACTGAACTCCAGTGACATATATTGCTCCACCCTGCACCCAAAGGGCGAAGACAGCAAAATTTACAGGATACTGCTGATCTCAGGTTTGAGAAATTCATATGGATATGTTGCCCCAGAGTGCACTTTGAGTCAGTGTATGCACATATACATTTATCTTTGTATCGGTGTATATAAAATACGATCATAGTAGCCTGGTCTCATTTTATTCAGTCAACCCTGAGTGTTTGTACAGCTAGCGGTTTTGGTCAGTAAAGGAAACACACAAGACATATTTTTCCCATCAAGCAATCAAGCAGAGAGCTGGTTCACAGCCACAGACTGAACTCAATCTCACATAAAACTCAATCTGAGAGGCTCCCTATGTGTCAGTGAGAACAACTCGCAAAATATCTGGTCTAAGCAAAGCCAGTATATTACTCAGACTTCTTGGTACACAGGTTTTTCTTAGAAGAATTCAGTTTTTCAGCTTAAGGACTCACTCCTTGTGATATATTTGGCAGTAATAATGACTGATTATTGCAGTGCTTTTCATTGATGAAGGACTGTCGCACAGCTCATACTTTTTGTAGTAACACTATTTATGATAAATGTTCTTGTTCTCCACAAAAAACTTGGTCTGATGACTTGGTTTTGAATTCAAGTGCATTTGAAGAGCGAGCTCCAGCTGGCAGCTGGGAAGTTGTAGCAAAATGTGTGGCTCCTCAGCGACAAGTTAACATACAACTTCAGGAGGGAGGAAAAATGCTTGCCAGGGAAAAGAACCAGTACAGAGGAACTTCTGACTCAACAAACCTTTTCCATCATGCCTGTTGCCTCCAGTCAAACTGAGCTGTCAGAGGCAGTGGAGTTCTAGTCTAAATTCAGCATTGCTTGGTTGTAAGTAACTGTATGGAGCTTGGAAAATCAAGTCCACGGGCCAGGGACAAATTTGTTTGTCACTATCAATTATGCCGAAGTTAAATTATTTTGTCAATACAAGCCTGTTTCCACCTCAGCATGTGTCCTGTATTAAATCACTCATGCTCCCTCTAAACACCATATTGTGCCGTTTTTTTTCCTACCTCTTTTTCTCTGCTTCATATCTGCTAAGGACACGCTGAAGACCACCACACTTGAAGCCTTGGAAGTGGGCTGCAGGGGCACCAACAGTGACAATGTCATAGAACGCATCTGTAAAGAAAGCAGATAGAGTTGATAGGATTTAAAACAGTGAGATGTATAATACAGCTTTTGGAAACCTTGGCACTAGAGGACCTTGAGGTGAGAAAAATAAGGTTAACAAAAAAGAAATTATATCCATCAAAGAGTATTTTCCAATTTTAAATACACTTGAACTTCATTTTACGGGCATACCTCGAATAAGTGTTATATCAATAGTTAATGGCTTTATTAGATAGAACAGCTGAAGACTGGTGCATGTTGTTCTCTTTCTACCCCCCTTTCCTGTCAAAGGGTCACAGGTTGGAAAAGGAACCATGGGCACTACAGCAAGGACTCAGCCTATGTACATGGGGCGCCAGCTCTACCAGGTAAGCTATAGGGCGCCCCTAGTTAATGGTACTTGACATGAGGGTTGATTCAATAGTTTTGAATAGGCCATGGAGCAGTTCCAGAGCTTTAGTTCACATTAAAATGTAAAAGTTATGTCGTGGGGTTCCTGCATGGTGTTAGTTTTGTTACCTACACACAGTATTTTTATGTTTTTATGCTACTTATTCACACAAAAGAGGCATGACATTCGTCTGCACTCTGCCACTATATTTGCTTTTAGGGATACATATTTCAGGTTGATTTATATTGTGTCAGTATTGCTCTATTACTAGTCACCTCTCCAGCTATCTTTCGGTCTTAATGTAGCGTTGGTCCCATGTTGAACCAGAAGGACGGCCAATGTCACAGCGCTTCATTCCAATTTGCACACCGTCGTCAAATGTAAATAAACACTTCACAGACGGCTAGGCGGGCACAGAGGTGCTTACAACAGGCCTTGTTTTGAATGAGTAATAGATGAGGCTGACAATTAAATCAGAAAAAACATAGAGGAGGAAGAGGGGGTGGACAGGGGTTTATGGGGGTGAATATTTTGGTGTGGTTGAGTGCCAGGTCAGTTAATGAACACCTCTGGGAAAGCAACAGTGAACAGCCTCGACCATAGGAAAACACTGCTTGAAAAATGGTTGAAAATAGAAATTAATGACACAACACAGCTCCAAGTGTTGCCACAGAGATGTGAATGACAGAGTGGCCAACAGCCTCCCGTCCCCTAACAACGCCACAATAGACCAATAGTGGTTTGATGTGGGGGCTTTGCTACTACCCACTGCTTCTTCCATTAATTATCCCTGTGCCTGGCCATGAGGCTCCCTGTCCGCCACACGTTTGGCCCCTGGAGTTTTCAAATGTCCAAGTTCCCTTAATTGGTTCTCCCAGCAGCAGTATACTGAAACACAATGGCGGGTTTCAGAACATCAAGCACAATGACCAATTTGTGCTTGATTTGCCTGCTCTTCCTCTCACACCATCCTTTTCTCAATAAATCAAGAACAGAACAAGCTGTTTAAGCACAGAGAGGACAGTTGCTTTCTAAAACAGGAAATTGGATGTGGCAGTCAGGATGAGTGGTTATAATTCATACTTAACCCATTCCACAATCCTGTTTAACAATGACAAAACATCCTTTTACTTGACCCAAATGAGTGCTGAACAATGCTTTCAGTTCAGCTTTGCCAAGCTGAGCTTTTTAGGCTGGAGAGACAGAAGACAGCCATTCCCAGCAAAACAAATGAACACTGTTTTGAGTTCAATGTGTTTTTTTTACCCCCGATTTCCTCTTCTTGCTGGATGATAAATAGACAAAATGAAAATGAATGGTTTAGCGTTGTTGAGTGGATTGCGTAGCCAAGCTCAGTGAAATGCATCACTTCAGAAAATCAAACGGAACAATAGAGCAATTGGCTACTGTTGGAAATTGAGACTTGCCTCCATTAAGGAGCAGGTTCCAGTGTTTCCTGAGCCTGACTGATTGCAATCATTTATTCAATGTGTTTTCCTTTTTAAATCGAACAAAATGTGCAATGTGATAGTAATTCAGTAATTCACTTTGAAACAAGATTATTACAACAAATTAAAACTAGAAGGTAGCCTGATATTATAAATGAATTGCTGAACTGTCTTGTTAGATGTTGTCTGTGTTGGGAGGCTTTAATCTTTGTCAGACCATTCTCGTCAGATGGCCACTGATGTTATGTTCAGTCGATTCTAATGTTTAAAAAAAAAAAAAAAATGTAATATATACATTAGGTACACCTAACTGAAACTCATAAATCCAACCTTCATGAAGGTTGTCATTTTTTATATTATATTTATATATATTATAGTTTTTGCTGTAAATAGCTGTTTAACTGTATGTTCATTGTGGAGTTTGTGGGGCTGGTGAACTGGTTGCATTAAACAGACAGGTTTCTGTTATTTAGCCTTCCCTCACTTATATGAATTCAGTTCTCCAAAATAACTCAACATGCAGTGTTTGTAAGTGGGAGGCCAGTGAGGGATCAAGTCCTTTTTACTACACTCAAGACTTCTACTGGCTTGTCATGGCGTCTGCAGGGGGGGGTTGGGTAGGACCTGAACCTGAGTGAATAGTCTGAACTTGTGTTTTTGTGGCGCCATTTCATGAGGAAGTGCCATTGTTGCAATTGTCATTTTTTGTACAGCTCATATTTTAAACACCTGGAAGCCTATAACTAAACTGTTAAATGGGGACATTGCGCTTATATGAAAATTCAAATTCATCAATATATTCAAATTTATTTTGAAAAATATCAGTAAGATACTTGAAAAGAATCTGCTCTTAATGTCTTTCTGCCACAGCACTGTCTTTAAATACCATGAACCATTAATTTAGATTACTCAGATCTAACATCATGAAGCCCTAGTGTAGTATAGTTGGTAGAGTGTACACACACACACACACTCACCTTAAGCACCACTGCCTGGAATTGAGTCAAGGTGTAGGCCCAAAGAGGGTAATTATCAGAGTGTCAATCAGTCAATTGACAAACTCCTCTAAAGCTTGTTTTATCTTGATTCTTCCTCTTTTTCAGCCTTGACAGTGTAAGACGGTTGCAGGGTTGGATGATGACTTGATTTTACTTATTTTATCTGTCATCCCTTTTGTCTTCACTGAAAGAACCACAGTTTATGTCACGGTTTGTCTCTCTTCAACTTTCTATCAATCATTGAGTGTATAGTTGAAATGGAGCCCACTCACAGATAGTGAGGCAGCAGTTAGTCGCCTTAATACACTGAGACAGTTCCAGGCCAATAACAGGCTCTGCCAGCTAGAGAGCAGCGGCAGAGGAGACAGCCTAGTCTTTCTCTCCGGAGAAATGCAAAGGGCTTAATTAGTGTTTTGTCTATCTTTCTCAGGCCAAGTTCATTTTCACCTTTCAGCCTGTGTGATGACCGAGAACCACCCTGTCTGAGCCCTCTGCATATCTCTGACAGATGGAGAAGTCAGGCATAGAAAGACAACAGTAGGTGACAACCACAGCAGCCTATGGAAATGTGTTTCATATGAAATAACATTTCTAGAGGTGGCAGTCAGTCCATAGGGACTTAGCTTGGGAACCAGAGCGTTTTAATCAATATGTTTACATTTAAAATGTATGACAAGGTGAAAATGTTTTACAATATTAAAGGGGGTCGATTGTACTGATGAACCTACAGAGAATTATCACATGAATCTACAGCTCCCCTTGGCGAGTTTTATAGCGAGTTTTAAGTCATTGTTTTAATGTCGGGCCCACAACTTTACTGTTTTGGCTCTCTCCCACAGCTCCCCTAGCGCCGTTTGCAGCAGGCAGCTGTTTTGAATGACAAAACTGTACAGTATATGTTTAGCACCAAATGAACAATATAGTGACTAGCTGGTTAACACAGTAGTGCATGGTAAACTGCTAAAGAGAGACTTACAAGTAGGCAGGGATTCGACTTCGAATGAATGAATGTTATTTATGCTATGTCAATGTTGTGTTCACAATTTGTTTCAACTGTTCCCATGTGGCCAAAACAGTCAAGTATTGGGTGTAATAAAAGGTCTAACACATGTCTAAGGTCATAGTGTAATACCTGTTTTTCTGGGGCACGTCACCCTCATCCTCTGGGTGTGCAGGTTTATTGGGATGAACTCCAGAGATTTCTGGGCTTTGCAGCAGCTTGGCTTGAATGAACGACCTGAAAAAAATGGAGACACAAGTATATGTCAGATTGTCATTAATTATCATTGGTGGAGGTTTCAAAGATGAAAACATCCCTATGAAAGCTTATTTCTTGACGTCTATATTACAACTAACAATGATCTTTCCAACATGACTGCTTTATATAGCTTTTCTCTTTATTACCTTGTTTTTGTGCTTAAGAACAAGGCACAGGGAAATAGATTAGCAAACATTAGACAATAAATTGAATTGATGTTGAAATGTTCTCTTTGATTTTCCAATGAAAAGAAAAGCCTTGTGCAACTGAATGACTTGAGATCTATTTAATGAACAACTGAGTGACAAAAGGGAATACATAGCACCAAATTAAAATCCATTTAAATTAGAGGTTGGAGAAGTAGCTGCACTGCAGATTCAATTATACATTATAAGGGTGTTGAGGATTTCACATCTTAATTGTCACAATGTTGTAAAATGGTGGCAAACAATGTATGAAATCAGTGAGTGGTCGGTTATTAAGTATGATGTCAGAATACCCAAATACAAAGTACAAGCACAATCAAAGTTTCAAATTAATAACACCACATTTTCCATAAGAAAACATAATTTTAACATTAAATGAAACAAATTACACAAACACTATTTACTCGTACAAATTATACGTTGTTTGACACTGGGTTATGAGTAAAATTATATTAAACCTCCAAACCATTGGGCTTTTAAATGCAAGACCATTTAACACATACCAGAAAGAAAATGTATAAATTTGAGATCAACAAGCATCTCAGGGTTTTTCAATCAACTGTTAATGACATCCTCTAATGTGCAGTGTAATCCTTAAAGCACAGGATTGTATGCCCTTTGCAGCCTCTACTTTGCCCAAAATGGCCAATTAATGTTTTCTGCAAAATGATACTCTGGCTTATAGTTATGCTCAAAATTACAATCTGACACCAGCCATGTTGGTTGCTCAAATCTCAAATATGTAAATAGGGTTGATGGGCCTCTTTGAGCTGAGGCTAAACTTTCAAGAACAATCATGCAACATAAGCAACAAAAGTGTTGTGATGTTTGCCAGCAGAGGTAAGTCACTTAGAATAAAACTATTTTGAGCAGGTACAGAAGACCAAAAAGGGAACAAAAAGTTTTCTATCACAAAGTTTCATAATCTAGTTTAGCATCAAAACTTTTAATTAAATCCTCTTTTAAGACACATGACTTGGAATTTCCTATTCAAGGCATTACTCTTGACTTACAAAACCAGTGAAAACCACTCTAGTGCAAGTTACAGGTTTTCCAGTGTGTATGCAGGAAGTTATTTCACTGTAGAAGTCATAGAGGACACTGTCGGTGTGTATGTTGCACATGTCGATGTATTTCAATTATCCAAATTGTAATGTAACAATTACTGTAAATTAGTGTCATGGAAGTATGGAAGTAAATATGCAAATACATGTGCATGAGGAGTTTCACCTGTTCCTTTTCATTATAAGTGAAGTAGTTTTATGACTAACTGTTGTATTAGCCCTGACACGTTTTTTTAATAGCTAGTCATGTGATTATTATAGTTTAATTAATGTTCTATGTCAGTGCTATTCTCTATCTTTTAATAACATCAAAATCTGCAAGATTTTCCTCTCTTTATCTTTTGTGATATGTAGTTGGCTACACAGAGATCATCTGACACACACCATTGTTGCCACTGTGTGACATCTTTTCCTTCAATTGTCTGTTGATAAAGTTAAATTCTTTTGCTGGCAATGATTGTCTGTTGTCTGGCTTATCATAATATCCACCCAGTTTTTCTCTATTTTTTCAGATGTGCTTTTGCTGATGTAGGAAAAACATCATATTATTCCTTTCAACCATAGGAAGTGAGTTTTTTCCCCCCAGAAAAACCTACCAAGGAAGAATAAACACTTCCATAAGGAGAGTTACATTAATTAACATTAGAGTAGACAAACAAATATGATTTATTACTACTTTACAATTACCCATTAATACTGACATAAATAAAGGTATATTTATTATACCACATAAGCATAACTGTAATTGTGTTTTTTTGTTTCTATATGTCAAAAAAACATGTGACAATTGACAAAGCAACTGAAATTCTGCTACTATTTCTAAATATTATGACTGGCATTATTGTAATGATTTGCTTGTATGTCACTGATAATACATTTTTTTGTTCTACTGTTGTTAGACAACTGAATTGAGGTGATTTTCCATAGTGAAAAATAGAGGGACCATTTACTGTAGGTCATAATGTATGTTAACTGCAGCATATTAACAGCCTCAGTGCTACAGAAGGTTTGTGTTATCATAGACTCTAGGTGAGAAAACCTGTTACCACAGATTTTTAACACCATTTGGCAGTTTGGCCAAACTTAAAAACAAATCCACTGCACCTCCATCACTGTATATAATGCTGAAATTGCTAGCCCACTCAAGCTGAAATGTGTTACCTCAGAATAACACTTGTGAACACACTTGAAAGTGATGTGGTTTATTATTTCCAACAGATGCCATGTCTAACCACTGGATATACAATCTGTTGACTAAATATAGTGAAGACCAAAACATAAGCTCAATGTATAAAAATGTGGTTGAGATACAGTTTCAACACTAAGGGCCAGATTTACTCAGGCTTTTGTGGCTGTCAGTTTTCTTTCTGTCCCCAGATGTGCTGTATTTACCAAGCAGATGCAGAGCGGTGGCTACTATGAATGTGCAGGAAATGTGTCTGTAATGTTACCCCAGCACAAATCTAAGATGTTTTCGGGAATGTCCACATTGTCCAGTCGGCAACAGTTATAATCCCCCGATGTTAAATACTGGAGCTCTGGAATAATTAGCCAATATGGCATTAGCATGCCCCAACCTACTCTGCCTCTGCCTTGGTGTTGTCACAACTGACAACAACAGTAAAGAAATTCCCGGGAAGATAGTAGGCACGCTGTCAGGGCACTAAAATGCAGTATGGCATGACAGGCAGAAACCGCCTCTCCACAACACTGCATCAAGTCTGCTTTTAGCTAAATGCTAGCTGCATGCTAATATGCTCACAGTGACAACATGTTGATGTTTGGCATAGTTGAGCATGCTAACTTGCTAACATTTGCTAATTACCACTGAACACAAAGTACAGCTGAGACTGAGGGGAATGTCTTGCAATTAAATAAATTATTGGACAAACTGAAACTGACTAGTTGATGGCAGTAGATCAAAGGTCAAGAGGATAACCAAAGTCCTTCAACATCTGTAACAAAAAACATCTGTGCTAGGTGGAGCTGTTTCCAAAGGCTAACATTCAAGTCAATGGCTCGACTGTCATCCCCGTTCAGTGGGTTCTCACTGTTGGCTGTAGAGCTCTGGGGACCAGGCTAATCGAGCTAGTGACCGTTGTAGGTTAGATGAATTAGTCATATCAGTTCCCCATCTGTTTGCCCAGGTGGGCCGGCTATGTGACAGAAGGGCCGGTTGCCAGCAGTACTGACCAACATCTGCCCACTATCTCTTCTTTCAATCCTTTCTGTCATTTCTTTGCTCTTAGCCACTTTTCTGTGCTCTTTTGAATCCTTCAGAAGATGAGCAACCAAATATCCTATGCTTTTAGAAATTCCTGCCTGGGTGCCCGAGGACAAGCTGAGAAGAAAAAAGAAGATCACAAACTGCAGCAACCGGCACTAGAAAAACAGTGGTTTGTAAGTGAGGTCTGTCAGATCAATGCAGGTCTTTTATGGCATGTTAAGGGTTTTATCTTCATGGTCCTGTGGCACTGACAGCACAGCAGGCTTTTTCAATCAATCAACAGTTAGATGTGCTGTAGACATAGAATAGAATTGGACACATGCTGTCTAAGCAAGTTGGACAAATGAATCACGTCTGACAGTACAATGTTTTTTTTATGACTTTCATTCAATTTATGTCTTTTAACATTTTGGCCAACATTTTTAAGTGGCTTTTCTTGAGTATTACTAAGACGAATCTTAAATGTGGTAACCTGAAAAAATATCTTTGCACTCCACAGCTGAACATCTTTACCTTGAGGCAACAGTCTGCAGAGACTACTGTTCTTATATAGATGTTAAAGAGAGAAACTAAGATATGAGCCTTAATCTACAATACGTAGCTCTGGGCCTTAAGCTGTAGTTATCCCATAAGTGGAGTTTAAGAGTGACTGGCAGCTTTGTGCAGAGAAGCGCCAGCAGCATTGGCGGTCCAACAAACACTATGCTAACGGGATTACATCTGTGCCTTAATTCGCCGGCTGGTAAACAATGGACGACGGGATGATTAATTTATGAATGGAATACAGTTATTAGAGCATCTGAAGTGTTTGCTGAGGTCAGCTCATCATTAAAAATGGATAAAATGGAATCATTGAGGGTGCTGAACCTGAAGATGGGGTCTCTGCCTCAGTCTCTCAGCGGACGGCTTCCCTGCTTCTTCTACTACCTGCAGTTTCTCCAGATTTTTGTTCTTCCAAAACAGAATTGAATAAATAAAAGAAATTTTAAAAACCTACGCCTGACCCATGAAATGCACATAGAGCACTAATTCGTCTTTTGTACATGAAAATCCCTCTGACTCAGGATCGACCTTACATTATGTGTGTCAGCCAATTAATATAAGCGCATAAATAAGGAATCCTCAGAGCCATGTGAAACCAATTATTTTGAAAACATAATTAAAAATGTAACTTTAAAGCGTGGGTGCACTTTAGATTTTACATCCTTCCATCAATTGTGTATTGTTATTTAAAGACCTAGGCATTGCCATAAAATATTATAGAAATGTGTGTGTACAAAAGTGTGTACATTTTCTAAAAAACCCATACTGATACATCCCCTAAAACAAATACATTGTATGTACATACAAAATATAATTTTGTCCAGTTGTGTACTTACATGATCCCAAATCAACAATGTTAAAACCCAGAGAAATCTGTAATGTTATTCCAGTAAGGGTGTGTTTCCTTGTTTGTCTATAGTTTCTATAGCTGAGCTAGGATGAGGGAAGAAACTTGGTGAACATGACCAAACTTAACATGAGTAAAACTTAAGTCAGAACAATTTCTGCCTGAGTCATGTTAGACACCCCCTAGCGGCAGAAATGACCTACTGTACATTTTAAGAGGACAATGATGCATTTTACATTATATTCTCTTGTGATGGACACCACTGAATAGTTTTATTTTTCACTATTTGTTTAGTTTGAGTAATTATCTTATCTTTGTCTCCCGTCTTTTCTCACCCATTGGTCTTCACTCTCAAACCACCTCCACACACTGTCTCTCTTTCTCTACTCTCCACCTTTTTTTAATAATATTACTTATCAATGATTCATCTGCAGCAGTTTGCCCACCAAACTTGTTTAGCAATGTCTATCATCCTGTTCAGTTCATGCAAGGCTGGATTAGCGTGGTGAGTTGTGCAGGGGCTCCTTGGGGCTCCTTGGGGCTCCTCTATGTATTTCAGCATCCGGGCCACACAAAGGACTTGACAGGAACCATAATGAGTAAGACCACATAATCCATTCCCCTTGCCCTTAACCCCCTTTCTTAGAGCTCGGGCGGGCAGAGGCTTTGCCACCATCATCTCTTATCAGCTTGGCAAACGAAAAAGCAGCAAAGACAAATATCTCATTATGGGGCTGAGAGTAAATCAGAGTAAAAATAATCAGTCATAATGTTCGTATGATAATAACTCAATATATGCATAGAAAGAGATTAAATGGAGAGGAAAAGACACGCATCCTGCTGTTGTAGTTAATGTTTCTGTTTTGTTGTTGTTAAGATGTTCATTAGTAATAACTGAATGAGTTTAGTTGAGGACAGAGGCAGTTAATTAAGGTACAGTATTACAAACACCTAACATCTGTTGTTCTGTACAATAAAATTAGTTTGTGTCTTTTAGGGTTTTTACATGTATACAAGTACATACAACGACAATTTCTACTATATATACAGGACAGTGTACACTGTTTCATTCTGCTTTTGAGTAATGAAACTAAACAAATATATCACCTACATATTTCTTAATACATTTTAAACACCCCCATCATCAGTGACATTCTGTGGCTTTATCACGTGTCCACTGTTTCCTTGTTCAATGTCAGAGGCAAATGAGAAACAGCCTAATTACTTTCTGTGTTCACATTAGAGCTAACGGAGTGGATTAATTTTGTTATGTAAAACATTTACAAAAAGTGTGCAAAAAATATTTGCATAGGAAGTAGAACACTGACTATTTGTTAATGAGATGCAAGACTCATGTTTTTGTTTGCACATGGCTTAGATTTGTAACCGTTTTCATGTGCACTGCAAATGTTTTCTTTAACAAACAAAGAAGAACACATCGGCACACACGTTTCAATTGTCCCTGATGCAACCTATGTTGCTATGGAAACTCTTTGACAGCAAGCAGATAAATGAAAAAACTTCTCACGAAAAGCTTACCATTCAGATCACACAGAATCCACCCTTCTAGTCAAAGTTGTCTCCTTCTTTTGGACTAAACCTAACAGGTTAGTGGCTGTTGCAATATTTTTAGCTGTTATAACAGAATCAACACGGGGACAGGTCGGGCCAGACTAGAGACATTATATACTTCACTACTTCAATTACTCCCATAATTTCTCTATATATGGGGACCACACATTACAGTAAGAGACTACTTTCACCAATACCAACACAGAGAAAGAAATCTTTATTTGAATTTACTGAAACGACAAAGAGTTGGTTGATTGATAAGGTATGCAGTGCCATCTGCAAACTTTAGCCAGGTGCTCTCACTTATATATATA